CTCCCTATTTACAAAGACTTTGTTTCCATTTTTTCCTTTTCTCATATTTTTTCCTTTCCCTTCTTTCCTTTCCCCTACCCCTCCCACTTCCCCTTTCCCTTTAGACATTTTCTTCCTATTTCACACTGTCAATTATACATTTTGATCCTTATTTACACTTTCTCTTTGCCATTTCTATTTCTTTCTTTACATACAGCTTGTTTCACAATGTTCATCTAAATTTTATATTATTTTTATTTCAGAAACTTATATACTAAAATCTTATGCATTCATCATTTTTCTTATTTTATATTTATTTTTATATTAGATTTCATTGATGTTTTCCTATTTTAATTCCATTTTCCTCCTTTTCCCAATTTTCTGTACATCCCACTTATATTATTTTAGTGGTTTCTGTAAATATTTTAACAGGCATATCTTCAAAAAGACCTCCAAATTTTAGAACATTTTGGTTTCATTTGCTACCCTTTCAACTTTATTTTTTTAATTTTAATTTTTAGTAGTAAATGTTTAGAGAACATAATGATTACATTCATTATAGGGAGTCAGTACATGTACATAACACATCTCAAATTTTTTTCATCCCTTTCTCTTTCCCTCTTTCCTTTCTCCCTTCATCTCTTGGTCCCCTTACCTTTTGCAAATGATCTATCTTCATTTCCTATTACCTATCTTTTTAGTTGCTATTATTTATATTTTGGATTTCTCATATAAGAGAAATAATGCAATATTTAAGCTTGTGTGCCTGATTTATTTCACTAAATACCATGGCCTCAAAGGGCATCCATTTTCCCTCAAATGACTCAAGTCTATCTTTTTTATGGCAAAGTAGTACTCCATCATGTATAAATACATTTTCTTTATCCATTCATCTGTTAATGGACATATAAGCAGCTTCCAAGATTTGGCTCTTATGAGTTGTATTGATATAAACATGGGCAAGACATCATATTACAGTGATAAATGCATACCCTTTAAATTTCATGCTCTTATTTTTACATATTCATTTTATTTTCACTTTAATGCCATAATAGATATTTGTAATATTGTTCTATATAATATTTTCTTAGATCAATCCATATGTTTACCTTTTTTGGCTCACCATTTTGTCTTCCACCTCACAAATATTTTCTAGGCATTTTTGAGTCATTTTTCTCCTGACATCATCTTTCACATTTTTCTTTAGAGGAGTTGGTTAGTGTTTAACTTATTTCAAGTTTTAATTTCTCGCAAATGTCTTCTTGTCAAATCCGACATAAATTTGACCTAATTGTTTTTCTTTCTCTTTGTTATTTTTAATAGTACATGTTTGTAGAGTTGATACAAGTATCCAACACATTCTAATTCTTTTTTCAACCCCTTTCCCTCCTCTGCCTCCATCTTTGACCTAATTCTTGAAGGCCACTTTCAGTGATTATATAATACCAGAATGACAAATTTGCTTCATTCAGTGCTTTGAAGATATAGTCATCTTTTTTCTGGCTTACATAATAACAACTGGAAAGTGACTTTATCTTTGGTGTACTGCAGTTTTACTTTGGTGTATTTTAATGAGGATTTCTTTTTATTTGTCATACTTGGAATTCACTGTAATTTTGAGTTAATGATTTACATATTTTATACATTCTGGAAGGTTCTTAGACATATCTTTGAATATTACATTTTCTTAATTCTCTCTATTTTTTCCTAAGAATCTGAAGCCTTATTTTATTCTTACTGTGTTTATCTTCCCAATTTCCATCTCTTTCTCTATGGTGAATTCTATGTAATTTCTTCAGTTCTTTATTTTAAAGTACTAATAATTATCTCTAGCTGTTTTTACGATGCTGTTTATTTTATCCATTCATATAAAATTTCAATATTTATAATTTGTATTTCTTAAAATCCTATTGGCTATGTTTTAAATCCTTCATCATATTATATAGATTTTTCATAGTACTTTCAATACAACTATTTCTTTGTACACCTTCTGCTCACTCATTTTCTGATTCTCTCAGGATCAAAATTTGCTCTCTGTTATTTCTGTAGACTTATGATGCTTTATTCTTGTTAGTGATTTTTAACTGTGAACTCGTTTAGGAGAAATCTGTCATAAGAACTGGCCTTAAACTATATTACTCCACAGAGGACTTGGTTTGCCTTTGCTAGTTGCTAGGGATGGTTATCCTAATCAATATAAATGATCCAACTGAGATTTTTAGAAAAAACATTTAATTTATTCTGCAGACATATTGACTTCTTTCTAAATACAAGATTTCTTGCTGACTCCTCAACGCAGAGATCTTTATTTCTAATAAATTTTTTTGGTGAAGGAGTAAACATTTGGATATCCACATTTGAGAAAGGACTTCCTGTTGAATATTTAATCTTCAATAGAGTTCATTCTTTGTTCCCCAAAACTGAAGCTAAGAATTCAGGAAAGCAACTAGTGGTATCAGAATTCCAGTCCTTCTCTGGATTTCTATTTACTTTTAATAATTTTTACTTTGGAGAATGTTGTCATATATGGGAATATATTTGTATATAATAAATGCATTTAATGCATACATATATTATAGCTATTTTTATTATTTCTACTGAGAGAGTTTTATTTCTTGTACCCAATACTGTCAGAATTTAAAACTCTAAGAGTTTGCAATGGTCTTTCATATTTCTATATAAACTTATTTTTTCATTTAGTAATATATTTAACCATATGCATTAATATGTATAAATTAGCCTCATTTATTTTGAATGGTTGCATAATATTAAATATTATGGAAAAACCATCATTTAACACATCCCCTCCTAATGATTAATTAGATAGCTTCTAGTTTTTCATTATCAAAAAAATTAATGTATATATGTTGGTTATTTGTATATTTAGGTTAAGTATATAGAGGTGGAATTGTTAGGTGAAAGGATATACTACTTAAATTTTAATGCTTATTTCTAATTTGCTTTTCAGAGTTTGCAACTACTAATTTGAGAAAACCAGCATACCTGTGACCTCATTACCTTTTCTACATTGAGCTTTATGAGCACTGTATTGTTAATTTGACAAATACTTTATTTCTTAACTTTTTCTTGTGTTAATTCCTGGGAGATAGAACATATTACAAAAATATGCATAGAAGGCTTTTAATAGATAATTTTCATGGCAGATGAGAAATTAATTGGAAGCAATTTTTCTCACATTTAGCACTGAAATATAACTGCTTGGGGCAATGGCATTAGAGCTCTCATCTGACTCTGAGTGTTCTGTTTAGAGGGTGCTGAGAGTGAGTCTGATTGGAATCTCTATTCCAAAAAAAGAGAAAATGGTTCCTTCTCTTCAAGATCAAGGAAGAAACACATGCCTCCTTTCAGTGTACAGTGCTGTCCTCCACAGGGTTGTTTCACTAGGCCAGAGAGTGACAAAGCAGACTCAGTATTTCTTCCTCCAGAAGAGGAAGGCTCTGTGGGGTTTTCTCAAAAAAATTATCTCAGGCTGAGCCCTGAGGGTATTAGAAAGAAAATCAAACCATTAAAAGGGCTGACTATTCAAGGTTTGCTGAGGGAGTTTGGTGTCAGTGGGAAGTTCCAACCAAACTCCATGTCCGTGGGCCACTTTAGAGATCATGTGGTTATGAAGTTCCGAAGAGCTCTGTACTATTCTGGGATCTGGGTGTCCCATGTCCAGGGCTACAGATGTGAAAAGCACTTTTCAGCTAAGTATTTCAAAAAAAATCCTGGCAGCCTACATCCTTTAGTTCCCTGGCTAAAACGGGAACTAAGAGCTGTTTATGGAGATTATGGCTACACAGTGAAGAATATTCTAGCTGCCATCCTCCATCATATGACCAAATATGATTTGGACAGTGAGTCCTTCATTCACCTCTTGGAACCTTTTCTTCTACAACATACCCACCATTTCCTGCATGAGTTTATCAGTTTTGTTTGTTCGCCTTACAACATGGAAACGTATGACCAGCGAGCCATCTATCAATGCCCTTCTGCGTCAACATTGGTGAAAAAGAAGCCTGTTGCTTTAGGTCCTAGTTTGCCTTTGCCTAAAGATCATGATCTAATGATGTCTCAGCATGATAAAGAATGGTCTAAAGAAAACCATGGTCAGTGGAATAAAGAGGACAAGTCTGAATCTCACTTGAAACAGTTTCCAAATGGTAACTCTTCTTTGAAAAATTTTAAAGTACCACAAGTTCATCATAAAGCAGCAAGCAAAATCCATGTTTGGACCAAAGACAAACCAGAATCAGCCGATCACAAAGGCAGAATTTCTCCAGATAATATGCTTCTGACTTGGCCTACCCAAAAAGAAAGTGGTCCAGGAATGCTTAATTGCAAAAATCATGTTCAAGAGAAAAACACAGAAGGAATAAAGTTGCATCCTAGTCACATCCAGGATCTTCAAAAGACTGAAACAATGGCATACACCTTCAGCACCCCAGAAATTTCTAATCAGGTGAAACCACAGAAGTATAATCTAAGAAAAAGAAGGGTTTTGCACATTGACCCCCAGACAAATTTCCAGAAGAAACAAATAGAAAATACCAAATACTCAGATTCTTCACCAAAAGTTTTTCAAAGACTGTCCAGAGAAAGATCCTTGTTAAATTGCAAACCCAGAAGGAGAGATCCTGCTTGCAGTTGCATCTCAGAAAGTGCTCTTTCTCCTAAGAAAAATGTTAGAAAGCTAAGTTCTTTCAGAAAAAAGAAGTCAAAGTGCAGACATCCTTCCCAGTTTATTGAAGTTGGTTCACACTGCAGTAGAAGAATCCAAAGACAAGGAAGGTACAGTACAGAAAGATCTAAATCCTGGTGTGTTGGACACAGAAGGAGCTCTGAAAGCAGAGAATCAAGTAATCTCTCTCTGGGAATAAGTCACAAATGTGAGCCCTTCACCCAGAATATAGCCTTTGAGTCCCCAAAAGAAAAGAATGTGCATGGCCATAAATCAAACTATGAGAGGACATCTTTGACCCCAGTCCAATGTCTGAAGCTTTCTTCAACAGCTGGGAAGAGGCCCAAATGTCCTTCTAAAGGTGAAGGTGCTTCCCGAACTGAGAGCTGCCGTAACAGTCTCAACTGCCTACATATTGTGAAACAAAGATTTCCAAATAATGAGGAGATGAAGCAAAAAGCCGTGTTTCCTAGAGCTAGAAGAACCAGTCGAATCCGTCAAAGGAAAAACAAAAGCCAGCATTCAGATACACACACCACGGAGGAAGTCACTGATGAGTGGGAGGATCTGGATGATACAGGCCAAAAAATTGTTTTTTCTGAGTGTGCACCTTCTTGCAGAAGGCAAATTGCCCAATACCAGAAGTTTTCAGAAAGGCCATAGAGTCAAGAATAAACACAGAGCAGAGCTCATATCAGAAATATGGAAGTGCAAATTGTTTTCAAAGGCAAATCAGTTGACTTAGCTGTCAAGGATCATTAAAAGTATGAATATAACCTAAAAACATTATTAAAAATATCTATCACATCACTTTGTAATTGGAACCAAAAGCCTAATAATTAAATTCAAAGTTTCTGTTGTAGACAAATGCATATTATTAAATTATTCATATATGTATATATTATCTGTCTGCCTTTTAAAAAAGTGAATGGATTTCTTAAAATATGTGTCTTATTTTTGTTTCTAGACTAATTACAAAGATTGATTGCCCAAGTTTTCATATAGCACAAGATTATACTAACACCAGGAGTAAAGGTTATTTAATGCAAGTTATGCATAGAATGTGTTGCTAAACACATTGTGACTTTTAAAAAAGTAATATATATTGAGTTCTGTATTCCAGACCTAATGTATTTTCAAACCCTGGAAAATAAGAGAGGGTCACTGTTTTAAGATATAGACATTGGGATTTCACATTCAGCTTTGAAAATACATGTGAATAAAAATAAAAATAAACGTATAAAATTTTTGGCACAGCCTTCTCTATCTCTGTGCCCTGAAAACATTACCACTACTTGTCCTGATATATATGTATCTTCATTAGAAGCTGCTGTATTTTTAGATAATTCTGATTTCCCACTCATAATAGTCCAGAAATGGTGATTATATTGAAGCCAAATTAATCACAGCATTTGTTTCTGTGCCACACTATTGATGAGTCCAGTAGTGGTCAACTGATTGTTCTTCCCTGGTTATTTTAAAACTAGTTTTGAGGAGAAAAGTCATTCTCTCTCCTTGGGGACAAACGGTGGAAAACTTAAAACTTGAATACTAACAGGATCAGTATTCAACAATTTTTGAAGAAAGTCAGTTTAGGGTAAAAAAGGACCAAACTAACAGATGGAGAAGAGTAAGTAAATTCAAAAGGAGAGTGTCTTAGATCTTGAAATTGAGCTCTTGTCCTGCTCTTCATATGGTTTTATGATTTTAACCCTTCCCTGAGTTCTGTGAATTAATATATTTCCTCTACGTCTCCCTTATTCAATCAGGACCTTTCATTCACTTGCTGTCATACATTTCATTGGGAGACGGTACAATAGAAGTGTATGGATTAGATAGGGAGTAACAGCTATTGGAAAAAAATTTGAGTTGTTTTTTTGTATAGTCTTGAAGAGTGAGTAGGAATTTGCCAAGTGAATTTGTTGGCAAAGTCTACCAAAAAAATAGAATTGACTTGAAGAAAAGGAAGGAAAATGAAAATTTTTCTTCTATTGTAGCTGAGCTATCCCAAGAGACTCTGAGAGGATATGATGCCAAATTGTTAATAAGAATGAAATCAGGCCACTGCAAGTCCATAGCAGTCACTAAGCACCTAAAGTTAGCACAGGACTCAAAATTCAAATATATTATTGTCTTAGTTACTTTTCTCTCATTGCTGAGATAAAATACCTGACATCCAAAGTTAAAGAGGAAAAGGTTTATTTCGCTCACAGTTTGTAGAGGGTTCAGCCCATAATCGGCTGGCTCCAAGGCAGGGTGGCACATGGAAGAGGAGCAATAGTTCATGGCAGCAGAAGACAGCAAAAGCAAACAAGCAAAGGAACTTAATAGTGACTTTTTGTTCTTTTTATGTTATTCAGAATACTTAGGTCAGGTAGCACTCACATTCTTTTTTTTTTTTCTTCGTAAATTCTTTTATTGGTACATTGTAGGTATACAACACATTTACATTTCTCATTGGGAATTGTACCTTTACATGATACATCTTGGTTCTTATTTTTTTCCCATTCCTAGCCCTCCCTTCACCCCCTCCACCCTTCCCTATTTACAAAGACTTTATTTCCATTTTTTCCATTTT